TTTTGTAGTCCACATTTATTTTTGCCTCACTTTGTATGATTTAATTAGTTTTGCCACATCACCAAGACAAAATCCTTTCACATCAAAGTCTACTCAGCAATAAACTGATTTCTGATCCAGAGGACAAACAACCATCCTGAGAGTGACTTGTCTGTCCACCACACAGCACCTGGTCCCAGAGCTGCGGAGCCTGCAGGTCCTGCTGGTTTTCTGCCTGATCTCAGACTACCAGCTGGGCCCGGGCCCCATCTCGTGGTTCATCGCCGCTGAGCTGTTCGACCAGCCTGGCAGACCCATCGCCATGGCTTTCACCAGCATGCTCAACTGGGGAGGGAAGTTTGTCCTGGCACTCCTCTTTCCTCCTCTACTGGTGGGTTTTTACTGTTGGTCCGTTAAATCCCTTGCTCAGTCCTTTGAGATGATGTTGCACAGTAAATCAATTAAAAGTCAGCCAGAGAAACATCTGCTCGCAGTAGAGCAGAGATGGCTGCCAACCTGAAACTAAGATCACAGAACCAAATCAAACAGCCCTTTGTTTTTCTCCTTTCTTCTTCTTCTGTCTCTTCCTTTTGTGTGTGTGTGTGTGTTTCACATGGTGTAATTATGCTGCAGGCCAGATTTCTCTAAGAAAACCATTGTGATCTCATGAGACCATTCCTGGTTAATTAAAGGTCAAATACCCTGAAATGTAACATTTCTGTCTGTTTCGCCCACAAACAGAAGATCTGGGGTGTGTACGTCTACCTGCTCTTCATGGCCATGGCTCTACTTGCCTTCACCTTCACCTGGATTCGCCTCCCTGAGACAAAAGGTCGCACATTTGATGACATAGCAGAGGAGTTCAGAGGAGCAGAGGGCATTCCTCTCCACAACAAGACTGGATTCAACACTTTCACCTGAGCAGCCTCTCACATCTCAGTGAATCTGGTCTTTGTCATTCAGTTCGTCCATTTCATAGCCAAAAGTATTAGTGGTACTGCAGGTAGCCAAATTGTTTAGATTTTATTTGCTTAGGTTTTGAGGGGGTTTCTTCTACAAACATCTTTTGCAGTGCTCACAGCACTGAAAAATGACTTCTGAAAAACCCGGCAATGGTTCCTAAAGGAAACGTCCTAGTTACTCAGGATAATCAAGAAACTTTATCCAACATGGCCCAAATAAACATACTTTGATTCATTTTATGAAACTGATTTTTAAAATGATTTGTTAATGTTTCTGTGATTAACCTGGAGAATTTTTATAAGAATTAAAATGTTAAATACCACAGTTTATCTAAGCGTGATTACATTAAACACTAAATGAGCATGTAAATATCCCTGTTTAATATCAGCTGAGGCTACCAGCTGGTCTTGAGCGCACCTCGGACCGGTCTCACCTACAGACAGTGCTTCAGTTGAATTCAGGCTTCCTGCTGCGCAGACATAGCAGAGTTCCAGTTTATTATTGGTTTGTGAAATCTCACATATCTCTGAACTGTTTACTCTTGGAAGATGTCTGCTGAAAACCACCCTCAGCTGTGTGAATAAATACGACATCCATTATGATCTAGAGTGATGTGCAGAAAGGCCAGAGCGAGGGCAGCCAGGAGATCACAGGACACGTGTGGGTTTTAATATACTGGCAGGCAGAAGCCAATGTAAATGTCAGCTGATGTACTACAGTAGTTTAGTCAAAGTAAGCTTCTAATATTTCATGTCAGAGTCAACGTCTACATGTCTGTAGAGGACAGAGTAAGATTCTAACGTATAAAACAGAACTTTCCTCACTGCCACATTAATTTAAACAAAGTCATTAAAGACAGAAACATAACACAAGTTAACTGAGGTCCTAAAGCTTCTTACACTTGTTTCTGTAGCAGTTCTAAGATTTTACCAAAAGCAGAACATTTGGCAAAATCTGTCAACACATTTCTCAGAATCTCTGCAAAAATATAAAGACAGCGCCATCTACTGGACCAAACTGCAGGAGACAGTCAAAACTACACTACATTACTGTCTTAGCAAATTTTGGAGACATGTTTGGCAATTTGTCACTAACCGAGGGATTGATCTCTGTATGTGCTCGGAGTGCCCAGCACACAGCCACACACTTTGGCCACAGGGCAGCCTTCCCAGCAACACAATAATAATAGAAAGAAAGAAAGTAATAATGTTTAAAAATATTCCTGCATTTAAATTATGATACAGTTCTGTGGCCATAATCTAAATTTCCAAAAAAATTCATCAAAGTTCATTCATTACTTTCCGAGTTATGTTGTTAACAAATAAACAAGCTAACATAATCCCATCCCCTGGCGTAGTACAACAGTACTACAGTGACCTTTTTCTGTCATATGTAAAACTCACTGCAGATAGATGTGATGGCCTGCAGGGGG